TTAATGTGTTTTGCAATCCTCATCTTAAATTATTTCATAATCTGGCATAAAAATGGAGATAATTGCTGGAGATCTTACCTGTAACACACAAGAATAGTCCTGAAAAATTCAGCTTACTTTTAAAAAATGACATATACTTCAAAGGGGTATTCAGCTCAGGTCCTCCATCTGTATGAGTCTTTTATTGGCTGCGGAAGGTAGTGTTGCAGAGAATCCAGTACTCTTCCAGACTGATGAGAAGTGATTGGAGATACTTTTCTTAACATTAGAAAACCCCGTGGGGTTGGATCCTACTATTTTGCTCCATTGGCACCTGCACATTCTTTCAGCATAGCATCTCTGGTACAAGATTCTTTTGCCTTGATACAAATACATTTAGCATCAGCAAAAGGCTGGATGAATGACAAGAGCAAAATGTTAGGATTCAACCTGTGTAGGTACCAAAGGCTGAAAAAACCTTAAGCATAGAGTTATCACTGTTGATAAAAAGCTAAGATTATAATACGAAAGTTTTAATCAAATTACAAATAGGAAAATTGCACTTACATACAGTAGAATGTCACACAGTTACAAGCATAATTCTTATGACTAGGTACGTTTACAGATCGCAAAGAATACATGTACACCAAACAAAAACAAAGTGCATTTTGGTTTTGTTTGGTTTACATACATTTTATGCAATTTATAAATGTACCTGGTTATTAGAATGATGCTTGCAACTGTGTGACATTCCCATGTATATAAGTGCAATTTTACTATTTGTAATTTGATTAAAGCTTCTGGATTATAATTTTAGCTTTTTTATTGACAGTGATTGCTCTTACATATAAGTGGGGGGGTGTTTCAACCTTTTGGTTACCTAATCTGTTCTGAGTTGGAATTCTCTTCCCTCCTCTTTTCTGTTTATTTTCACAGGATCTAACCTGTGACCTTTTGTAAATTATTTCTGCTTATAGAAAATGCTTATCGATAGCTACACAGGCTGCCAGTTTGCTTCCAAGCTCAATTTAAGATACTCTGCTAACCTTTAAAGCATTTCATGACTTGGGGCCCTCGTATCTGTGGGCCCACCTTCACCCATCAGCCACTCCGATTGTCAAATAAGGGATTGATTACTCTTTGTTCCTCTACACAGGTTAGTAAGAACTGTCATTGCTCAGGCTCCATGGCTGCACCTGGGCTGAGGAACAAGCTTCCTGAGAAAGTTTCAGAAACTCTGTAAAGCAGAGCTTTTCTAACATGCTTCTGGTGGCCTGTCAGTAGGGGCTGTGGTTTGTTTCCTTTATAATTCTGTAAAAACGTTTTCCCTAAAATCCAGGTGATACTTTTCTGCCCTTAATTTAAACCCATTATTTCCAGTGCTATCCTCTGCTGCCAACAGGAACAGCTCCCTGCCCTCCTCTAAGTGACAACCCTTTAAATACTTAAAGAGAGCATTCATGTCCCCCCTCAATCGCCAGACCAAACATTCCCAAGTCCCTCAGCCTTTCCTCATAGGGCTTGGTCTCCAGACCATGATCATCCTTGTTCCTCTCCTCTGTACCCACTCCAGAGCTGCACACAATTCTCCAGGTGCGGCCTGACCAATGCAGTGTACAGCAGGACGATGACATCTTGTGATTTGGATGTTGTGCCTCTGTTGATACACCCCAAGATTGCATTAGCCTTTTTTATCGCAGCATCACACGGACATATTTAACTTTCAGTCCACCCTTACCCCAATATCTTGTTCACACACTCTGCTGCTCAGAAGTGTATCCCCCATCCAGTATGCATGTTCCTCATTTTTGCTACCCAGATGTAGAACTCAGCACTTATCCCTATTAAATTGCACGTTGTTCACGTCCGCCCACTTTCCCACCATGTTCAGATCTCGTTGAATTCTATCTCTGGCTTCTGTTGTGTTCACTGCTCCTCCCAATTCAGTGTCATCTGCAGATTTAATGAGTAGCCCCTCCACACCCTCATCCAGATCATTAATAAAAATATTGAAAAGTACTGGGCCCAGAATCGAGCCCTGTGGCACCCCACTGGACACCTCCCTCCATTCTGATGAAGTGTCATTGACAACTACTCTCTGAGTGCGGTTCTCCAACTAGTTCCCTATCCACCTAACTGTCCTACAGCCCAGTCCACAGTCCTTTAGTTTACCCATCAGGACATCATGGGGAACCTTGTCAAAAGCTTTACTGAAATCCAGGTAAACAACATCAACAGCATTACTTTGATCCAGTAAGCTTGTCACTCAATCAGAGAAGGAAATGAGGTTGGTCTGGCAGAACCTGTTGAGGACAAATCTGTGTTGACTTCCTTAGATCACCAAGTTGTCCTTTAGATGGCTGCAGATTGATCCCTTTAAAATCTGCTCCACTATCTTCCCTAGGACAGAGGTCAGACTGACTGGCCTGTAGTTTCCTGGGTCATTCCTCCTCCCTTTTTTTGAAAATTGGGATAACATCTGCCCTCCTCCAGTCTTGTGGCACATCTCCCATCCTCCAAGAGGTCTGGAAGATGATGGACAAAGGCTCTGGAAGCTCTCTAGAAAGTTCTTTCAACATTCTTGGGTGCATACCATCTGGCCCTGGGGATTTGTACTCATTCAATGCAGCCAGGTGCTTCTCAACTACCTCTGTCCATGTCAACCAGCAGCCCAGATGCTGTGACTTGCCTACTACCATCTCTAGATGAGCCTGTTCTTCAGGGGAAAAACTGAGGCAAAATAGTGCCTAGTAACCCACAGATACTCTTCTTTAGAGGTATGTCCCTGCCTCTATTTCTTGAACATTTTGTTTTTCTCCCGTAACACATCACACAGTTCTCTGTTCATCCACACTGGCTTCTTGGATCCCCTATCATGTTTCCTTCTTGTTGGAATAGTGACAGCATGAGCTTGCAAGAGCTTTTGTTTTAGGAGAGTCCACCCTTCACTTGCTCCTTTCCCTTCTAGCAGTCTTGCTCATGGAATGATTCTTATCATATCTCTGAGTTTATTAAAGTTTGCCTTACTGAAATCTAACTTACACATGTGGTCACGAACTTCCTTGGGTCCCCCACAGCAAAAGGAATTCTAGCAGGACATGGTCACTTCCCCCTAAGGTCCCCACCACCTTCACTCCATCTACCATCTCTTGCCTGTTGGTCAATATTAAGTCAAGTATGGCTGAGTCCCTTGTAGCTTCCTCCCCCATTTGATGAAGGAAGTTGTTGTCCAGACAGGTCAGGAAGTTATCCCATATATGTCTTTGTCTTATTCTTTGGCTTCAAGGAAATATTGTGTGCTATATGATATATTTGAGAGAAAGTGCTTGGACTTTCCAAAGTGAAATTTAGTTGTTAAATAAAAGTGAAGAATTAATATCTGTGTTGTGCAGGAAACCTTAAATTCTGCTTTGGCAGATGTCAAGCCTCCTTGTAACCTTAGCTTTGTTGTTAGAGACTTGTAATTTCTGCAGAAGTTAAATAGCAAGACCTGGTTTTGATCTAAAATGAGTTGCATCCTTAGTAATATGCTGTCGTTTTGAGGTGTGCATCGGTAACCTGGTGGAGATTAGTCATGGTTTTAATAGCTGCTAAGGTTCCTTAATTATAGGCATTTTAGTAGCAAGAGTGTTTTCAGCAGATAATGAAATCTGAAGCTTTCTCTAGCGTCTTCTGAACTAGAGACTGCCTTTATTGTATACATACTAAGGGATCATCTCCATGCATGGATATATTTCAGAAAGGTAATACAAAACCTTGCATCTGCTTTTGCCTTGGAAGACTTCTTGAAGGTACAGGAACGTTCTTAGAATTAGATTATCAGTCATGAAAGGGATAAAACTGAGCCACTCACAGGCAGGTTAAGGATTTCTACATACTTGGGTTCTTCGGGTTATGCAAAAAAATGACACTGAATATTATCTAGCAGGAAACAAATCCTTCAGTGGCCCAATGAGAACTGACTATACTCTAGGAGAAATATATGTTGATAGCACTTGATTGTTATGTGGAAGGTAGGGTTGTGCCTGGCCAGCTCTAGTCCTGATTGTTTGAGAATCCTGTAGAGACACGGGGTTTCTAAATTGTTCCCCTCAGTTTGGTGTGAGAGCCAGTTTGGTGTAGTGGTTAAGTGCGTGGACTCTAATCTGGGAGAACCAGGTATAAATACAATCCCCTCCTTGTATCTAATTTGTTAGATACTTTAGCTTGGCAGTCTAATAAACAATGTTGAGCTGCCATAGGAAGAAGGAGGTGGGGAAGTTGTTCTCTGTGTGCAGAACACTGACTAAATACTTTATAGATGAGGCCACTTAAGTTTTTGCTGAATATAAAAGTGTACTGCTCTAAAAAAAATCCCTATTTCACTCTCAGTCATGTCTTCGACATCGATTGTTTTAATTTAGTTGCATTCTTAATCTAAAAGACTGTGATAAGGGGTAACATAAGTTACAGGAGGGCTGCTTTCTAGTATTGATTTTTCAGTTCTAGAAAGTGGTGTAGCACTTGCAAATATACCTTGAGCCAGGGTCTGGCAAATCCCAGGCACCAGGTATTCAAGGCGCCTAGAAATTTCACTGTGGCACCTAGCATATTTAACAATGCTTTTATTATAGTCTGTCTCGATTAAAAGTACAAAGATTATTTATCATTTTGCATCAGAATTTTTTGTTGTATGACATAAAATGCATATGCATGAGGTTATCATTGTTTATATGTGAACTTTATCCAGTGATGGTGGATGAATTAATTTCTGAACCAGTTGATTTCTTGCTGCATTTGAGTGGAATGGGTGTGTTTGAGAGATTTAATATATCTATTTCCTAGGATTAGGCATCTGGGAAAAACTAATTACAGCTTTGAAACTGCCCAGTTTGACAGGAAGTCTGTTCATATAGTTACTAATTAATTTTGTGAAACAATGTGTTCATAGAACTCAGAATTTTTCTGTAGAAAATTGTCCAAACCACATCACTGCCTTTTTCTATACATTGATGGATATTTTTCCTTTCTCTTGCTTTCAGAGTGTACTTCATGGAATTTTGTTGGAAGACCATCATTTGGATGTGAACACTCCTTTATAAAACAGCCATCTTTTCCTTTTTATAAAAAAGCACGATTTAGAGGGAATTTGTTTTGCAGATCCTTTAATTTTTCCTTTGTTTAACTGAATGCATAAATGGCAACGGTAGAAAGACAGAAATCATTGTGATCTCAGATCTTCATCAAGTTGCTTTTGTTTCTCAGCAAGGAAACTTAAGAGTTAGCCAACGTAAAAAGCCTTTCAAAACACACTTAGAACATTAGCGCAACCTTTTAGCCACTGTAAAGTGGTGGAGATGAGTCTTGCATTTTAAGATTTCTAGGAGCAAGTGTTAAATCTGTAGCTTCAGCATTTGGAAGACTTTTCAGGTTCCAGTTGCCCTTTCTCATTCTTCCCTCTCCCATTTCAGTCTGATTTGCTGCAGAAGATGAACAACAGAGTGGATTTGTGGAATTCACCATTAACTATGGTGTTTTTCTGAATGTTGTCCAGATCTGACAACTACATTTGTAATGTAATAGTTGAGTTACATAGTATTGTGTCCACAGCAATAAGTTTAATGAGGTGAACGTGGTTGTGGCTTTCAAAAATGCTCACGACCTTGTAGATGTATGTATATATATAATTTCTCCTGTGAGTACCAAGAGCTATTAAAATGAGCAGCTAAAGGGGGGAGGTGTGCAGTCAGCACGAAGTGCGGCTTCTTGTGCATCCTTTGGGACTTGGCATTGCCACAGAGCTGGCATAGGTACACCCTGGAGAAAGACGGAATCTGGAGGTCCAAGAGAAGCATTAAAAGTTACAGGAGTGGACTGCAGAGGCCAAACTAGGTAAGTTGTTGTGGGTCAGTCTGTCTCCCCATATTGTCATTTAGGTGTAATTTGGCTTGTGAAAGGAGGGCTGCTAATGACAAGACTAGGGCATCTATATACCATTCTTACCCACCTAACTCATGAAAGTGAATGACTTGTATGACAGTAACTGTCAAAATGTCATTGAGAAAGAGACCTGACAGTAGAATATTAAAATACTGGAGAGGAGGAAAGTTATTTGAGAGCCCGTTTGGTGTGAGAGCCACTTTGGTGTAGAAGTGCGCAGACTCTAATCTGGGAGAACCGGGTTTGATTCCCCACTCCTCCACTTGCACCTGCTGGATGACCTTGGGCAAGCCATAGTTCTGGCACAGCTGTTCTTGAAAAAGAGCAGTTTCTGTCAGAGCTCTCTCAGCTCCACTGACCTCACAGGGTGTCTGTTGTGGGGAGGGGAAGGGAAAGGAGTTTGTAAGCCACTCTGAGACTCCTTTGGGTAGTGAAGGGCGGGGTATAAATCCAATCTCTTCTTCCTCCTCTTCCTCCTCCTCCTCCTCCTCCTCCTCTTCCTCCAGCAAGAATTGCAGCTGCTGAAGGAGCTCAGTCAGGAGTCATCGGATCTAAAGGGTGGCAGCAGAGGAGCTAAAAAGTTGCAGCACTTTGGATTTGATTTGTGCTATTTCATTGATTATTAGATGCCAAGTTACTTTTTCCAGGTTGTTAAGAGCAGACCCAGGATGGCTTCTTCTGTATTTTGCCTTTGGGAAGACTAACAGTAGATATATGGGGGTGTTCTTCTCCTAGGTCCTGGCCACGAGGTTTGATGCCTCGCTTTATTGAAGGAAGACACTGGACCTAAATGGCGCAGCATGACTTTGTTCCTGCCTGGCTTAACTTCTCTACACCACAGTCTGCAAAGGTAAGTAATATTTCTTGGGTCAACCCTAGGGGAAACCCTGTAGATTATGAAATGCTTAAATGGCACTCTTACATAGAACTATAGATAGGGAGATGTGTTTATGTCTTTTGGGGGGGATCTAAACAGAAGTTAATTGGCAGTGTACACAGAGAGAGTAGCACAGAGTTGCTACTGGAGCCCATGACCCATTTGCTACTTTGTGTCTACTTTAATAGTTAATGTTTCTTAGACTTTGAATGTTTGCATTTTAAAAATAATAAAAATTGCATTATTTGACAAGCTGTCATGAATATCCAGTCTTATCAAACATCTGGGAAACCAATTGATAAAATGGTTTTTTATGTTCAACAACCCAGAAGGTTAGAAATTTTGTTCTGAAGAGGGAAGTCGCGTGCTTTTTGTTTCCATGAGCATAAGAGAACATACATGAAGATTTCTCCTTCAAGAATTTATTGATCTCTAGCATGCAGATTGTGTACTTTTTATTACTGCAGTTTAAAAGTGAAGTCATTCCTATGTGATGTACTATGTACTCTCACAAAACAGATTATACTGTTAATTCTGCTGTAAATGATCTCAAGGATGTATGGCTGGGGGGCTGGTGAATGGTCTAGGAATACCAGATATTATAACATTACCAAGTTAAGTGGGTTTAAACCCAGATGAGAGACTTTTGGAAGACCTGTGTGAGAAGATATACATAACAGTCTCTGTGCAGGAGGGACATGGAGATTTCCTGTGCTCTGCTCCATTGCTGCTGCTCTCTCCAAGCCACAAAAAGATCACTCCTGCAGTTGCAGGATCTGGACCAAGAAACACCCATGAAGGTTGGGCTGTTACTCCACGCACATGATCCTGGGACTGATCATTCCAGGGGTCAGAAAGAGCTGCAGTGATGTAGATGAACATGGGGAAATGACACCTTACCCACATGAAGTGGTAGGGTATACACAGGACTCCCAGAAGTCTTCCCCCCAAAAGTCTTTTTCAAAAACTTGTCTCTAATGGGTTGGTAAATCACAGGCTTGTAAATCACTTGGTTCCATCTGTCTTGATTACATGGCTGTTGATGAACTGGCTACATTAGTGTATTAATTTTGAGTTAACCATTTGTCTGTTTAGATCATTGGCCCACTGACACAGACACATAGTCATATTATATTGTAGCCCTGTGAACCAGTCCTAAGTAGGGCATGTATTTGGTCTATCCAAGCTGCAACTGCACCCCCCACCCCGAAAAATACTTTACTGGTATTTTCTGGATATTTTTTCCAACCAGATATAGATAGCTAGTATTTATTTGGCTATCCGAAATGGCTGAGCCTGAAAAATTCCACAGTTAAAGTGCATTTAAAGGAACTGCAAGCCCTTTAAATGCCTTCGGAGTTCACTCTCAGGCTTGCAGCTTGCAGAAGGCATTTAAAGAGACCACGATCCCATTAAATGCTTTCTTTTCTCCTCCACTGAAAACAATGGAGGATGGGAGCAGAAGAAGCAAGCCCAGCCAGGATCACCTATGCCGCATGGAGCAATCTACTTCACATGGCACAGGAGCTCCTGGGGCTCCCTTCTCCTGCAGCCTGGTTTAAACCAGACTGCATGAGAAGTGAGCCCAGCCAGGATCAGCTGTAGGAGAAGCCAGCTGAGCCCCAGGATCTGTGTGTGGTGGGGAGAGACCTCCCTACTGCATGCGTTCCTGGGGCTAGCTTCTCCTGCAGCATGGTTTAAACCATGCTGCAGGAGAAGCCAAGCCAGCCCCAGGATCGGGCTGGGGTTTTTTTGGTTTTTTTTTTTTTTAATCCAGTATTTTTCTTCTTGAGACTGTTGGACCTGAAAAATTCTGGATTTCTGAAAAATCCAGTACTGGTATTGGGATCCGGGATTTTTTGAAAATACCGAAAAACGTTTGGGTCCAGTAGACCCGAACTAAAAAATACCTGTTTTTTAAAAATTGCACACCCCTAGTCCTAAGTCACTTTCTTAATATGAAAAAAGTATCTGTCTTGGGCTATCTTTTTTAGTTGAGGAGGGGCAAGTTTTTTACATCTATCCAAAATAGCTCCCGGCGATTACTTGTGGCTGATCAATATACTGTAATCAATACACTACATTGTAATTACAGCAAAGGAACATCCGTTTATTACAGTGAGTTCTAAGAATTCTGAAAAAAAATATTCTACAGCGCTGCAAAATTATTATTGAAGTTGGGACATAACTTAATTTTCTAGTAAGGGTTATTTTGCCATATGGGATGATCACTTTTAACATTGCTTTCAGTCAAAGCAGTGTAGTTTGTTAAGGTCCTGATAACACTTGTGAAGTCAAGACAAAATAAAACCAGTCAAGAGGCACCTTTAAAGACCTTTATTTCACCTTTATTTCAATAAGCGTTTGAGAGTCACAGTTCATTTCTTCAGACAGATATAGGATATCTGAAGAAGTGAACTGTGGCTCACAAAAACTCATAGTGATAAGGTACCACTGGACTTTTGTTTTATTTTACTACAACAGCCTAACACAGTTACCCCTTTGCAATCTTCATTTATAGGCCTCTGGATCCACCTTTGAGAAGCACGGAGAACATCTTCCTCGAGGAGAAGTCCGCTTTGGAGTAAGCCGGAGACGCCACAACTCTTCAGATGGCTTTTTTAATAATGGCCCCCTCAGAACTGCAGGAGGTAAATAAGGAAGATGGGCACATTCCTGGCTCAATACAGCTATTTGAAGAGCATCAGTTTTATCCCTTTACTGTTTCAGGTGCAGCAAAAGCTAAGTGCAGACAAATGGGAGAAAAGGATATGTTTGTTTTCAAACAATCCAGACCTGTTTCTTTTTATTAGGAGAAAGTTCAGGGTTTTTTCCTTACATCAGGGCACTGTAACATCTGTTCATTTTTGCCTGGCATACTTAAATATTGCAAGACAAATGTGGACACACGACCTAATCAGAGAACAAGTATAAAGAATACCTAAATATTGAGCATTCCTGATTTACTAAAGTACTTAGTCCTCTGATTCTTCTTGTCACTTTCCGATATTCTGACAACTTATGCTTATAGCAAGTTGTGAGAAAAGTGCATGATGGAGGTTTCCAATGCCATTACTCATATGGGTAAAATAGGGGGAAATTGTTGTTGTTGTTTTTTAAAGTACCCATAGGTACACTTTTATTATTTTTCATATTATACACATACATACAACATATAAACAAACAACCACTTACATACATAAGACATACAAGGAGATCAGTATATTTTCTTATTACTCTATTACCATATTTAAAAATTTTCTTAAATCACTTTCTATAGGTTTGCTTAAGTTTCTGTATACTCTTATATTTTTACCATAGTTTCTATTAAACTAAAAGAGATTAATAATACCAAAAATGTCATTACTTTAAACTATGCATTTATATTATACCAGTCATACAGTTTTTTCCACGTCTTTTGAAATGTTGGGTCTGTTGTCCCTCTCATCAACGATGACAGTTTGTCATTTTCAGCCGTCTCCAACAGTTTATTCACATATTCTTG